TAGGCGTTACATTAAAATCACGAGCAATATAACATTCACATGGATATTATTTTAAATGCTGCGCCTGAAAGTATGCTCAGAATTTGTAAAGCAACGATTAAATCAAAGAAAAAGTCGAACAATGTGGCAATGATGCTGCTGTTTTGTACTTTTTCGCTTTTGTGAAAATCCCAATTTCAAGCATTTTTCCAATTTGTGGTACCAGGCCAACAGAATCGCGTAGCCGCTATATTTTGACACAAGGTTAACTTTAAATGGCTATAACTCAGTAATGAATGAACGTATTGACATCAAACTTGTACCATTGTTTAGGGGAGATTGTGTAATTTGTATGTGTATCGATAAACAAGTATTTGCACAACGGAGAACTATGAAAATCATGATCGTTTGCAAAAACGTTAAATTAGTTTTGAATGGCTGGAAATTGGTGTATTTGAGAAAATTTTGATATTAGATTGTTGCTGAATGTTTGTTGTCATTGGAAAATAATTAATTTTGAGAAAAAATACGGCTATTAAGGAAATTTGTTTGAAATAAAGAAAACATGTTGTGGTGCAAGTTTAGCAATATGACATCATTTCAATTGGTAAAATGCTGTTCCCATTCACCGAGTTTCCAATCAAAGTGCTTGTAATTTAATATTACAGACTTCGAAGGATAAAATACCACATCTTGACAGATATTTATTAATATATGGGGTATATGTTTTGGCGTGTAGTCCCTACATATAAGTGTTCCGAAAAGTCCCGGTCCTGTCATGTCGTTAAAGAATAAAAATAGGGTTTTTATACAATTTAAGACCGGTTTCGATCGGATTGGAATGCTATCATGTTAAGCCTTGGTTTTGCAAACATTTTGTAAAGTTATATTTTGATTAACGATAAAAAATGATGGTTATTGTAGCAATAATTGTAGATCGGTTGGAACATATATTTTAGCTGTTTTTATGCCTAAAATGGTTTGAATTAAATTACCTTATTTGAAATCTAAACGAAATAAAAATGCATTTTAATGTTTTTTTCTTTGTAATAATATTTAATGTTTTAAAATTAATAATTAAAATTAGAATGTTTTGGACCTTGTGACACAACAAGTACAAGGCAAACAAATTGTGTCCGTTATAAGTTGCTCAACGGGAAGAGTAGCCTCAGTAGACTTGATCTATCTAGATCACGGAGCGGATCGATTTTTCGCTTTTCTAGAGAGGAATGTGTCCCTTCGCTCCATATAGCTCCAACAAATAGATTCCACATAGTTCGGTGCTGGTTCGTGGAGAAATGAAAATGACAAACAAATTGGCAAATGCATTGGCGACCGTATATTCATATTTGTTTAACAATGTTGCAGCATCTGAAAAATGAACGAAAATATGAAAATAATAGAATGAGTTGAAATAAAGAAACCAGATAAACTATATCGACGCCTCCGAACCATAGTATGCTATGTCTGAAAAGTGAGTTTTTCAGTAGAAGCTTTCAAAGTATGGAAGTTTCTTTAATCGTACGTGCCATGCTAAGTACATTTTTGCTTATAACTTTAGTTTGGATTGACCGATGATTACCAAAATTTCAGTGAATTTAAATTAAGGACCGTAGTAGGTAAAACCGTAAAGAACTTTAAAATATGCTAAGTCGACTTAACATACTATGGTTCGGAGGCGTCGATATGAATTACTCGAAAAAGTAAAAATTGTCAGTCGGTGTTGCCGAATGGTATACACAGAGACTATGGTTAGCGGAGGTCTACGAAATGAAAACACAGATTTTATTTTTCGCTTTATATGAGAAGAGGTTCCAGAAAGGGTTGCCCAATAAACTCCATATTAGGATTTTGATGGAGTTTATTAGAATTTAGAATTTCAATATTTATGTAAATCGGTACATTTATAATTTTGTCTGATTTCAAATCAATGATTTACTTTGCTCAGCTGATCAAATTGAGTATTGAATGGCATAGGTAATATATGAATCATAAATCTTTTCCAATTTAGAATATAGATCGCATACATAATACCTACCGATTTCAAGCATCATTGTCATCGAATCTGAATAGCATGAAGTGTTTCTTTTTTAATTTTAATCTTCGCATCAGATTACAAATATTTATTATATTCAGTAGTATTGGCGGGTTATTTGCGATACCATTTGTATTTTGTTTTTACAAAATAGTCAGGTTTTTTATTTTTTTTATGTAGTGGATGATGCTCATTGATTTCCTGTCTTTTTTAGCAAGAAGCGACGAGCCTTGTATTTTTATATTTCGTATATTCATGTTTCATATACAGTATTTAATTTAACCAAAGAAACGAAGAAAAAACGTATTGTTTGCATAGTATTTTAAATTGTTTATTCACATTTTCTTACTCAATATAATTTGATTGCCTTTAACTGCGTGTTATACTACCATTGTATTTTTTATCCGCAACATTTTTTGGTTCTTTTTTTCTCTTTTGTGTATGTGTGAATATTCGTTTATATTTTCTTGTTTATTGTTATTTATTTTAGATATAGTACATGGGTAATAGGAGAGTAAGACAAATATTATCTTATAGATAAGCTATTGGTTTAAATGTACACAGTGACAAAAGATATTTGTTGTTGTTGTTAATTTCTTAAAACAACAAAATAAGCTAAAGCTACATACTAATTATAATAAAAGTCATACAAAGGAATTATTCTAAGAAATTTCCTTACGATTTTCATTTTTTTGCAGTTATATTATACATTGAAGACAACGAAGAAAAAAAGGTATTGAGAGAAAAATAATAATAAAATATAATAACAAATATTAACAAAGATAATTAATAGTAATAATTATATGTATTTAAATATGTTTTTTTGTTTGTTTTTTCAATAAGTTATCACATAATGTTGTTTGTTAATTTTTTTTTTCAGAACAATATCCCATCATGCGTATACAAAAATAACAAAAACCGATACCCACATATATTGTATGTGTGTGATTTTTGTTTTTTGCTTTGTTGTTATTTACTTCTTGTATTGTTGTTAGACTCTATCCCCTATCTATATATGGGAGAGGTGAATCATAGCATTATTTTAATAAAAATATATATGTAAACACGTTTATTTGTAATCTATTCGTTTTAAAGAAATATTGTGACGATAGGGGAACTATAGTTTTTATTTAGTGTTAGAAATATAAGGGGTTCTTCCTACACTCAATTATTAAAATAAAAATATTTAAGGAATTAAAACATTGAGGACAGTATAACTGTGCATTCTATACCAATGTCAAGGTTGGTTTCAATTGTAAATTTACTTTGGGAATAATGTTATGATTTGGCTGGGTACAATCAACAATTAAATAAAATTCCTATTCGGTAATATAAACCTAAATATATGGCGATGAAGTTAATTGACTGTTAATTTCAAGTCTTATTGCCATGTTTTAATATAACCTATCACCCCGGTAAAATTCCCAAAGGCACAAATGCTTCTCAAAACCCCATTTAAAATTTAGAGTCCAATACCATAACAAAGTTATATTTGTCCTGGATTAAAAAATTGTCACAGAACAATATTCACGAACCGAATTCTCTTTGTCTTTGAGAATCTGTGCGGACTTCACAGTCTCCTTGTGGAGGAGTGGACCATATCTCTTTGATAATACAGCTCAAATGCTTAACAATACTCTTTTACTCTTGAAAAATGCTTCATCAGTACGATGAAAACTAGATCCAAATACAAAATTATCATTTACTCGGAAATAATCTGTGGAATATTCAGAACCTGTGCTTTTAATCTGAATCCATTGTATGCCTGTATTTTGACAACCTTCATCATTGCAATAATTTTGAAAATAATTGTAGGAATGGTTTCCGGTTTTGAGGAGTCTATTATGTTTTCTTCTTTTTGTGATATAGTGTACCAACACGATAAAACGGTTTTAATTCTTTGAGAAACCTTGAAAATTGTAAGGCCTCTATATGGCTTGTTCTGAAATTTTCAGCATTCCTAGGGTTTTGACTCATTTCGATAGGACATATTTTATACGAAAGTCGACTGATATTTGTATAACTATCTTTAGCTCCCGACTATTTCTAAACGTTTTCCATCTATCATCTGTATTCTGGCCAATTTCTGAAAACATTTAAAAACAGATTAGTTAAATGTACAATACTTCTTTAAGCAACAAATTACAAACCCTATTCTAACATTCATTGGCACCTCAAGCTATGATTTAATCCTCCTTTATAGATCTTTTTTATAATTATAATATAATCATACATAATAAATTACCTTTTTTCAAATCCTTTGTCATTCTCTTATATTATTACACTTTGGGATATTGTCTCCTTTGGGTTCTTGTTTTAACTTAATATTAAAAATCTTACTATATTTTTGTTTGTTTTAAATTAGCAGCATGATCAGCGGCAATCGTCGCAGCGCGCTCTAACCACAGCATGAACGACTACCATCAGGCACTTGTGAACTCATACCACCATCGTCCATACCATCCTGCGAATCTTCAACTATTAAACGTCTTTGGCCAAATTGTTGCTGGGCGCTAGCCCTTTGCTTCATATTATTTTGTTGGGCATGTTGCACCATAAGTCTTGTCAATTCCATAAACAGCTCATCGACATTTTCATTTGTCTTTGCCGATGTCTCAAAGTAATGGGCGCCCACACTTTCAGCATAGGCCACTGCATCGTCTTCCTGCACCGTACGTTGCTCTTCCAAATCGATTTTATTGCCAGCAATAGTTAGAATGATTTCCGAACCCAACATACGTTTCAATTCCTTTACCCAATTTTTCACCTTTTGGAATGAGTCTTGATCGGTGATGTCATACACTAAGATAGCACCATGTGAGCCACGATAATAGATGGGACCCAATGCATGAAAACGCTCCTGTCCGGCTGTGTCCCAAATATTCAATTGCACTGTGTTGCCATTGTCAAGGTTGACTTTTTTCGTTAGAAAGGAGGCCTGTAAAGTGCTAATGTGTTGTGGATTGAATTTGTCTTCGACATAGCGCAGCACAATCGATGTCTTGCCCACACACCCTTCGCCGAGCAGTACCACCTTAAAATTATATTGCGTTGGTTGTGAGGGATTGTTGTTGGTCGTCATTGTTATTATTGGTGTTGTTGTTGGTTAGTTGTGGTGTTGAACCCGACGAATGGGAGGGAATTGCAGTTGCAAATTTCGATATCTAGTTTTTTATATACACCATGAAGTTTTCTTTTTATTGTTGTTATTATCTATTTATTATAATGTAATAAATATTATTTTAATTTCCTTCGTTCCTAGTTTGGTGTTATTTATTGTTGTTATACTATATACTTTTATTGTTGTATTGTTTTGGATGGCTTTGTGAAAAAAAACTTCTTCGATACGAAAATCTCGATATTAAATGCAAGCGAAAATGTCAACAACTGACTGCTGCTAGAGATGGTGTTGTTTCGACAAGTACTGGTTCAACTAAGGAATTCTCTGAAATGAACTATCGGAAGTTATTTTAGTTCGTGTATTTATTTACTATCAAGGTATATTTAATAAGGTAGCCGCATCGGCCCAAACTGTTGGACAAATAAATGTCAAACATTTTGTTGTAATGTTGAACCAAAAAATTAAAAAACAAAATTATAAATGAAAATCTCCGAATTTCGAATAGCTTTTTTGGCAATACTTTTATTAACATTTTCTACAAGAATTTGTGTAAAAAAATCTTGTCAATATGTTTGTTTAGGCAAAATATTTTTGACATATCAAAATACAACAACCGATGTTTGTTGTAGAAATTCGCCGATGCGGCTACCTTGTATATCTACCTTGTTTACTATGAAATTGCACTCATAAATTCAATTCATTCAGTATTCTGAAAGTAATTAACGGATGCATTGACAAAATCTTGTATATTAATATGATAAAATACTCAGAAAATATGGTAAATATTTTCAAATTTATAGTGAGGAAATCGAAAATAATTACGATTAGCCAAAATTTTTGCAAGTTCTGGAACAGAACATTGCAACATTGTTTATGTTTCTGTAGTTTCTGGAATAGATTGGTTGTTAATCGAAGTGAATAGATATAAAATATTTTGAGAACAATGGCGACATCTAATGACAACAAAACGCCAATACAACACTGATAATGTCTGGAAGTACCAAATATTCAAATTTTGTCAATTCTTGAAACGTTAATATTTGGAAAATAATTGAATATTCTTAATGCATTAATACCAAAGCATTAATTTTTGTTCTGTAAAAATTTTCAAATGTAATAGTACGTTTACATTTAAACAGATTTCGTAAACCCAGTGGGTTTCAATTGTCAATTCCTTTGCATATATGTCAAACTAGGCTAACCCGGTAAAAAGTTCTAATGTATATGCCGTTTAAGTCCCAATTTAAATTAGACAAGTTTACTTGCGGCAAGTCTTTGTTTGTAGGAGAGGCCCAAGGGGAATAAAAATAGAAAAATATTGCTCGTACCGGCAAATTTTTGGCAATTCCTTTTGTGTATTTCGTATTGTAGTGTCTAAACGAATTACCAGAAAATTGCAGAAAGTATTCTATTAGAAGTATGTGATATGTGCGAATTTTTTAAAACTTTAAGTGATGGAGATATTATAATTTGCAAAGTTTGATTCCAATTCAATACTACTTTATGACTGTACAATTTTTTCAAAATATGCCAGTAGCAAATAAACTCTTGTGTGAAAATTTCGTTAACGAAACGTTGACGAAATTTATGGAATTGTCATCCATGATATGTCGTCGAAAATGTCGTTCTTCTCGAAATATGAAAACAAAACAAAAATAGTCTGAATCGAGTGTACTATGAAATATTGACAGAAACAAATAGAAAATTCTTTCTGAAAATATATATGTATAAGGAATTTGAGAGAAAGAAGACGTGTTTTCTTGGTTAAAATAGGTAAGTTTAAAAGAATATATAATTATTTATATCATTATTTAAATGCATTGTTTTACTCTTAGGATGGGACAAATAAATGGCAATTGGTGAAATATTGTAAGTAATATCTGAAAGATGTTCCAATATTCCAATGCATTTTAATTATGTCATTTCTTTACAGATGATGTTAAAATTGAGATAATCATTACGCCAAGTTCTCAGGCTTATTTACATTATATGCTATTATAATAATATAATAAATTTCATGCTATAAAAAATATAAATGAACAATATGTTTATATATTTTTATTTGAATTTTAAATGGAGTATGATTGACGACAATAGGTATACAGTCACCAACGAAGGTGTAAACGACAGGAAGTGAATCTTTAGTTAACGAAAAGTAGGGAGATTAGTCGCCGAAGTTGTCGTCAACGACAACTTCGGTTACCCGGTAGCCCAAGATGTCGTGCATGAATACTGCGACACTTGTGTGAAAATTTCGTCAACGATTTCACATTGTTGTCTGCAAAGTGTCTTCAAGGAATTGCCATTGTCTTACACGATTCGTTAATGTTGTCTGCAAGACACTTTCTACTGGGTAGGAGAGTATGTTCTATCTTCGTAGTTGGTGAAGGCTTCATAAAAATACAGAAGTGGAAACGTCTTTTTGTTAGGCCGGCCGATCTTTGAATAGCCTCCACTATGAGTTGGACATATGGGGATATGCCATGTTGATGCCAGTAATAAACGAAATAGCATACTACAAAAATTCAGGTTGGGTAATTAGACATACATAGAAAACATCTATGAAATAACGAAAATATATCGATATTAATAATTTATTTTTGGTTGTTGTTGTAGCAGCCCTATTGCTTCTACACAATGGGCTGAGGTGACAGACGTTGGCCGAGTATAACCCGGGTCGTTTCGGATCGTAGACCCCTCTGACGTGGAAACGAGCCTTTATGGTAGTAAGATTTGCTAACAATTGAGAATCCAAAATACCAAGTCGGTTGAAAAAAAGTTCCCAAAATAAACTATAATTGGCCCAACGAAATTTTAAAATATAAAATACCCATAATAACGAATACTGCACTGCTACATGGGAACTACATACCAAAAAGCTATACCATTTGCAATATCAACAAGTGGAAAAGCGTAGATATACTGACAGGTACTTGAAATGTAAATATAAGGAACATACCAAAAAGTGGGCCTATACCGACATTTCTAAAAAGGGATTATGTAAACCATAATACAAACTTCAGCAATGTTTAATGGATAATTATACCCTCAGCCTTATGGCTAATGAGGGTGTATACAATTTAACAAGGTGAAAATGTGCCTCATCGAAATATTGGTTCTAGACCCCATGTTTCTTTGAACCAAATCCGTTTCAGAAAATTTTAGATTTCATCCAAACTTTGCCCATCTTATTATTTCTTCCAAACTTAGTTCAAATTCAAAGATGGGGAATATCGGTCTACTCCTTCTGGAACCTCCACACAGGGGCTAGGTCTAATTGCGGCTATAGTTCATTATCGTTATAATTTTTATCTAGCTATCCTCCGCAGGAGAAATGATTACAACAGAGTCTTACAACCAAACTCAAAACGCTGAACAAATTAGATATCTATTTTAATATAAAAAAGGGGGTTATAGGGGACTATCCCAAAAAGGGGGCGAATATTAATAATTTTTGGTAGGGAGATTTGTTACCATATACGACTATAAAATACCAAATTGCAGCAAATTCGGTTAAAAAACGCGCTCAAGAACCCCAAAATACCGAAAATTAGGAGTACCCTTATATCGGACTATCTGAAAAAATGGACCTATATTCATAATTTTTTGTGGGGAGATTTGGTACCTATTAAGAATTCAAAATACTAAATTACAGCTAATTCGGCGGAAAAATACGATCAAAACCCCCAAAATACTGAAAATTAGGAGGTACCGTTATATGGGGACTACCAGAAAAAATGGACCTATATTAATAATTTTTTCTCAAGACATTTAGTACCCAATAGGAACCCAATGTAGCAAATTTCAGCGAATGCGGTTGAAAAACGTGCTCAAGAACCCCAAAATACCGAAAATTGAGGGGTACCGTTTTATGGGGGGTACCAGAAAAAATTGACCTATGTTTATAATGTGTGGGGAGATTTGCTACCCAATAAGAACTCAAAGTACCAAATTTCAGCGAATTCGGTTGAAAAACGCGCTCAAGAACCCCCAATACTGAAAATTGGGGGGTTCCTTATATGGGAGCTATGCCTAAACGTGGACCGATATAGCCCATCTTCGAACTTGACCTGCCTGCAGACAAAAGACGACTCTATGCCAAACTTTGGGGCTCTATCGTAATTCGTGTAGACGCTAGAGTGATTACAACAGAAAGACGGACAGACGGACATGCTTAAATCGTCTTAGAATTTTACGCTGAACAAGAATATATATACTTTATAGGGTCGGAAATGATTATTTCGATGCGTTACAAACGGAAAAACAAAACTAATATACCCTCGATACTATGGTGGAGGGTATAAAAATTGTGAACAGCATTAACGTGACGTATACGCAACGTAGCCTCTGGTATAAATATTAAGTTGATCTGTAATTGGATCGAATCGTATAATCCCATTCAAAAAATATATGACTGACCGTTTTTTTAAATATATGATGAAATATCTTCTAACTTTAACCAACTATTTCAAATTACGTTTTCTATTTTTTTGTTATTAATAACACATTAAGCTTTCAACTTAATTAATTCAAAGATAAATTCATCGTTTTCTGTTATTGTTAGAAATGTAATTTTCTAATGCAAAAATAATGGTTATGCAAATGCACTTTCGACATGCAATTTGTCAGACAATATATCTCTTTTTTTCTGTGACGACTTAAGTGAAATTCCGATTCCAAAAACCTAGCTATTTGACATTAAAGATTTTGAACAATGATAAAAAAATAAATTATACTATGACATAATAATACTATGTACGGTTTTTAGCGATGAATAAGAAAAATACAACTCTTTTCAAGGTATATTTAAAAAACATGTATTGACTTCTTTATTTCTATTATCATTAATAACACTAAATATTTTAATCCTGATATACATGCTATGGTGAGAGAGAGAGAGAATTCCCAAAATAACAGGACTAATTATTTTTTTTTAAATGCTAAGGATTCTATACAATAATGCATAGA